TATTCTGTATTCAGCCAGTATTGTTACTATTCTGGATAGGGTTTAATTAAAGATACCCTTGAGGGCTGCAATGTTTGGAAGAAAGCTCTCACGAACAAAGGGACGAATGGAGTTGATCGAGACCATCCTCTCGTTAGACGAGTGCCTCAGGGCTAAGTGGTTTACACCGAAGCTTACAATTTTCATTCGCTTGTCTACATTGCGTCTTCCAACGTATGCCAAACAGTTGGCAGTGTCAAGAGAAAGTGTTCACGACGAGAAGCGTTGTTTTATGGCACAATAAATATGTAAATGAGTAAAACATTTCGCCTAAATATTCGCAAATATCGCTTTAAAAAAAATAGACTAATGCTACTTTTAAAAATGCAGTATACTGATATAGAACCATGAACTGCTGCCATAACACATCTAGCTGATAGGAAGGGTTTTCGCTTGAATTCGCGTAAACGCCGGGTCAACTGATATTCCAGGATCGCGCGCAAACAACCTAACGGCACGGCGACGGCCAGCGTCGTTGGCGATGGCGGGATTATGGGCTCTCTCAGCTATGGGAAAGGGCCCTACTTGCGGGTCGAGGTAATCAACTGAATGAGCAAGTGACTCTCGAGGACCGACCTCGTGCGGATACGCCGCCGCCGGTAGCAACCGTTTCATCCCTGCCTTCCTTCCTCGCACCCTTCACCCCTCTCACTCTCTCCTCGATGCGGTCATCTGAATAAACCATGAGTGTTGCCTTAATGACGGAATCGAAGGTACAAACGGCGCGCCGTCCCGTTCCCGTACTCGAATCACTGGTGGTGGATATACACGGCAGAGATAAATTGCGGCGGGATTCGCTCTCGCCGCGCCGTGTCTTGAAGAGACCTTATAAGCGCGACTTTTGCGTAATGTTATACAGCGCTTAAACTCAAATCGTAACCGCATTAACGCCGATTGCGGCGCAGCATCGCTCGGAGCTCAAGTTTATTTAAATACATAACTTCGTGTCTCTGTTCGTACCGGAAGGAAGACCGATAATACGCGAGATGTCGGATACTCCCGACCGGCCAAACGCAGACATACATGAACGCGATTGTGCTTATTTATTTACGCATCCCCGATGCACCATTGTGCATTTCGGTTGCATCGACATGGCGCGCGATAACGTTTGCGAAACCAATATCTAACGCACCGAACGTTTGACATTGACGTGATGTTTAAACAATGTTGATATTTTACATGCACATGCATTAACACATATTTGCGCTCACGGTCACGCAAAAGTAAAAAAAAAATCCGCGCACGTGTTTGTACAACGCATATTTATAGAAGCGGCGGACGCGGTCACCGTCGGTATTATTCCTCGAGCAAGGTTTTCTATTGCGTTAAAATAATGCTCCTCCACCACAAAACTTTCTTTATTCCGCACCAAACAAAACGCAGCCGTTCCATGTGCACAAGTATAACGAAAATCGTAATTAAACGCTGAATTTTATATAACGCTCTTCTCAGTAATTATACTTCGTTCCGTTTGTAATTTCCTTAGGTAGCTGGTATTTTATTTAACTACCTTTTAATAGTCGACGAGTCGTCCGAGTTAAAGTTCCTGTGATACTCACTAAAATTCACTCGTGCCTTGAACTTCCTTTTGACTAAGGAATAATTAAAATACTTCAATTAAATGAATTCTTATCTTCCCGGCTAGATTTCTTTACCCCGGCCCCGCCTGCTTTGTCTTGCTTTATATTAAAGTTGATGTAACAAATATTAATCAATCGATATCTCCCGAACGTGTTTCACATATAAATGTAAAGCAGAAATACAGAACATAAATAGACAAAGAAAAAGTATTTTCGAATAAACAGAAAGAAAATTCTATTTTTGATTATGTAGAAAAGAATATATATGTTGTGCAAATCTGTTCGGTTACCTATGCAATTCTTCGGCTTTAACGATCAATGTGTTTAATTTGGCATTATCAGACCGCCGAGCAAAGATTCGTAATTACGCTTTAATACAATCACCATCATTACTTTGACATTGCCGTGTAAAGTTAGTGACGCACGCGTATATTGCGAACGAACTCAAACATAATATCCTGAAAAGCACTCGTAACTCTATTTCGTTGGGTCACATACCTCGTACACGGCTCTAGACCATGATACCGCAATCTGCTTTTGCTATTCCCAGTTTGATAGGTGTTTAATATTACTTGAAAATCTCTACGCATGATATAGCGATGCTCATGACGTATATATAAAGATAAATCGAATTGTTAACAAAAGCAGACGCAACCATAAATTTCCCGCAATACAGCCGGTGTTATTTATAATCCAATGAATATTTTAGAAAGTCTTATTCGTTATCAGCTATTTGCCGTAACTTGAACGTCAACGCTTTGTAAATTCACATTCGTTAATATCTATACACGGAGAGAATTTTTTGTTATATTTTACCGTTAAGTTCACTACTAACAATAGGACAACTTGGCAACCAAGGAATTTTTGAAATATACTTACCAAAGACATTTTACAAACAACGTGATAAAAATTACCAAGTGGATTGGTAATTTTTGAAAAATTATTGAAATTTCCTAGATATTTCAGTAAAATTAATCAAACATATTTTATATCTTATATTTTAATGTAATAAATATTAATATTTTTTATTATGGTAGATATTAATCAGAATAGCTTGCATAAAATTCGTGGTGATACATGTTGTCCCACGACTACCATGATTTCAGAGTAAATTTTAAGAGAAAATTCTCTCCGTGTAGAAATTGTAAGATTCCATAAAAAGTTTTATATTAAAAGTATATCAATATCTGATTTAACAACTACGTAATGTGTAGTTCGATGATCAAACCTAAGCGAGGAAAACGAGTGCCGAAAAAATGATAAATGACAGATATATGAAAGGGAAAACTCGTCTCGTCGGATAAAGTTTTCCAGATGGAATCGTATCGCCTGCGATTTGAGAATCCGGCGTCTTTCAGGGAGAAAGAATAAAGAATAACTGTCGCCATCGATGTCACGGTCGAACACGTGGCGGTAATCTTCGAGGATAACCCGCCGTGTCAATGTTACAACCGATCCGAAACGTAAACGTCCTTCTCCATACTCATCGAAAACCGCTTGTCACTTTCCTACCGTCATGGAATACGCGTTACGGAGAACAACTAAGCATATATCGCGAGCGGATTTTATTGACGTCCCCCTGAATTCTTCCCCGGCTTTTCTACCGGCTTTATAATGCAAAACGTCGGATTCTCGGCGCACTCATATCGCGGTCTTCCTCGTCGTAGCTTCCGACAGCCGCTATACCGAGGCAGCCTCATAATGTTCACATGACGGGAACTAGAGGAAAACGCCGCAGGTGCTTATGCACATCGCGGCGTTGCCTTTCCGGATAACGTGAATTAATAAAAGATGCGTCAATCCGAGGACGCGCTTAACGTAGCATTGCGAGAAATATAATATTTTTCAGCGGAAGCCTATTGGCATGTAAAACCCGCGATCGTGCACATTGTAGTGAAGGATACTATTTCATTGTCAAGAATAGATATATACACTCGCTACATTATACATATATAAGTATATGACAAAAACAGAAATTCTTGCGAGAGACTATTTTACAAGATACATTGTTAAGATACATTATCTTGAGAGTTACTAAGTTTCCTTAGTAGTATCCTTAGCAATATTGACTTGCGCTTCAATTCGTGGAATAACATAGACTTGATATACACATGTATATTTGGATTAATAACTTATTAAAACATAACTTATTAAAACATTTATCATTTGGATTAATAACTTATTAAAACATAACTTATTAAAACATTTATCATTTGGATTAATAACTTATTAAAACAT